CTGTTAAAACTTTAATGGGGTTATCTTTTAAAAATCAAAATATTCTTTTTTCTTTAATATATAAAATATTTTTCTTATGCTTCTTTTTTTTTTTTTTGAGACAGAGTTTTACTTTGTCATTGTTGGTCGAGTACTGTGGCATCATAGCCCTCACCAACCTCAAACTCTTGGGCTCAAGCAATTCTCTTGCCTCAGCCTCCCAACTAGCTGGGACTAAGGTGGCTGTCACAATGCCTAGCTATTTTTATAGATGAGGTCTCACTCTGGCTCAGGCTGGTCTCAAATCTGTGAGCTCAGGCAATCCCACTGGGGCCTCCCAAATGCTGGGATTACAGGCGTGAGCCACTGCTCCCGGCTTTTTATGCTTTTTTTTGAGAAAAACTTAACCATCTACCTTTCTGTTTATTGAGACTTCCTTTTGCCTGAAATAAAATGTATTAGAAAGGAACAAAAAGATATCATAATGATGTTTTATAGGAATTTTTATAATTAGAGGACCATGCATGGTGGCTTATGCTTATAATCCTAAGCACTCTGGGAGGCTGAGGCTGGTGGATTGCTGATGCTTAGGAGTTCGAGACCAGCCTGAGCAAGAGCAAGACCCTGTCTCTAAAAAAATAGCTGGGCTTTGCGGCAGGTGCCTGTAGTCCTTGGTACTTGGGAGGCTTGAGGCAAGAGGATCGCTTGAGCCCAAGAGTTTGAGGTTGCTGTGAGCTATGACTCCATGGTACTCTTCCCAGGGTGACAGAGTAAGACTTTATTTTTTTTTTTTTAAAAAGAAAGAAAAAAGAAATAATTTTTGTAATTAGAAATGTTCATATTTGTTTTCTTCCTGATCATCTAGTATTCCCATGTCCACTCTGAATCTTTATATCTTCTCTAGTAATTACTATCTGGAGAAGGCTCATTAGTCTGTCAGAGGACATTTTCTTAATCCTACTACTTATAAATTTACATTTCTTAATTTGTAAGTCCTATCTCTCCAAGCTCTTTTTGGTCATAAAACATAGTGGTTTTAAGTGATAGCTGATATAATTATAGAATATAAATGCTATTTAATAACAAATATTCCACAAAATTTAGGAAGTATTGCTTTGACTGAAGCTATTAATATTTATCATACAAATATAAGAATCATTATATTGAAATACAAATTAGCCACATGTATTGTTATCTAGTAGTTACATGATCTCTAATGGGTATGTGAAAGGAAGAACTGAGTAGTTGCCTTCATGATTATCTGTCTCTGGATATTGAAGTTCACTCACCAAAATTATTTTAATAATTGTTTACTCCCTGTTATTTAAAAATAAAGCATAGTTCTTCTAATTTATATAACATTATCACATGCTATGAGGCACAGATATCTTAGTTAATAGAATCAAAATCTTATTTGATCCTCTTCAAAATAAATAGGTTTGAGTCAGGAAAATGCATGAATGCGCTCCATTCAGAAACTATACTGGGAATTATGTAGCTGCTGTCCTTGGTGATGAAATTATTTCACATGAATACTTAAGGAAAACAACCAGTTAAAAAGGCAGGATAATCTTGAATATACGGTTTGTGGCTACTTTTAGTATTTTCATAGATCTATGAGAATTCTAGAAAAATGCCAACTCTAGTATCTTAATGTCTTGAGTTCCTGACTGCCAGGCAGAGGAAATGTTTAACTATTCTAATCATGTTTCTGTATCTCAGAAAGAAAGCCCTTATGAGAGGAAATGACAACGTCCTACCACAAAGTTATCTCTTATCAGTTACAGTCCCAGTCGATAATGATTTGTCAAATTTAGACATGTGTAAAATGCAAGGGCAATGTTATTTACTTTGGAAAGGAACAATTAGATGAAGCTGATAAAGAAGGAGTCATGGCTTTTGTTAGGAGACAGAAACTATTAGAGACAGTCATTGTTAGCTTAGGAAAGTGTCCTTGGACCCCTCCCTCTGCCCCAGCTGAAACCTAAACCTGTTTGAATCATTCTTTGCAACTTGAGGGAAGGGAGGAGTAAAGGAGGGGAAGAAATAGGAAGGCCACTTTGTTAGAGTTAGCATTTTAAGTGGAAAGCAAAATGTAGACTTCCAAAGAGATCTATTTCTGTGAGACAGGAATATCTACCTTTGTTCTGGCATTCTTCCTCACCCCCATTTATTTATATTTTTGAAAGTTCATTTCTTATTCTTCTGGATGTGTAGCATTCTTTCACGTTCAGTGTATGTTGCTCTTCTCCTTTGTCTTTCTGTGGTTGTAAGTGATTCTTTTTCGTTAGTGGAAGCAGAGAAAACACATCTAGCTCAAAGCAACATGAGTCAGTGCATACTTTACATACCTTTATCCTCACGGCACTCTTCTTGGTTCCTCACAGTGTTAGTTCCTAGTGTTCCTCACAGAGGGGAGCATAGAGGAAAAATGATTTCTAAATATTAGGCTATTTTGGGGGTAGAGGTAAAGATTGTGAACTGAAGTCCTGTTTACTCCTTCTTTTTTTGTTTAGATTTCTGTGTACCACTTTTAGAGCAAGTAGTCTGAAAGCTTAGGAAGACTTAACTGGTAGATGATCCAGCTAAGAAATAGTAGAGCCAATACTTATAGGGCAGGGCACTGTGAATAATTTGAAGCCGATTTAACCATGTCATACCAGGCTCACAGAGAATAGGTTTGGGTGTACATATTTGTTGGAGATGACAGAAAAAAGCCTTTATCACCTCTCTAAACATATTTTATTTTTTTGTAGTCTGCCCAGGTAAACCAGTCTTAGCCCATTAGTAACCAAATGTCTTTATTAAGTGGTCCCGTTAGCCAGATTTCTAGGGAAACTGGCCCTTATGTGTGTGTTCATTCTACAAGGATGGGTCTGATGTGTGCAAGAGCCAAGGCTCTGCCTAAGGAATGGCTGTGGGCAGTTTCTTTTTGAGTGAAGCCCTGTCTCTGAGATAAAGTAAAACAAAATAAATAAAATGCATGGAGAAGAACACATGGAATTATTATTGACTTTGCTATTCAATGTTAGGTAAGAAATTTCTTTAAACTTTTTTTGAATATAAAATATTTATAATAAATAATTATAATAGTTCTAAATAGAGGGAAGAAGTTTCATTTCCTATACAGATCAAACTTTTTAAAAAATATATTTTTGTCTTATCTTTTTTTCAAATGTATTATAGTTTTTATGTAGTTTAAATACTATTGTGAATATGATTTTTTAATGTTTTTCTACTTTTTTCTTTGAGAATGTGTTTTGCTTAGTATTAGGGTCTTGTTTTCTGGCAAGATAAAAGAAATTTCCTGTGTATTAGCAAGATGAGTAAGTTCTGATTTTCTGTCAAGATAAAGTAAATTTCCTTCAAATCACTACTTTGCAATTATTGTAAAGACGTTTAAATGTTGTCATTTCAAATAAGAATGCCTAAAAAATGATCATTTGTTGACTCTTTTTGTGTTAAGATGAAAATAAGTGTCCATTTGTAGTCTTACAGTTACAAATTTTACATGATTTTTAACCCTACTTTTTTTTTTAAGCTGCATAGAGCTCATCTGTCCACAAAATGTTTTTCTTAGTAGTTTGTAATGCTTGTTAACTCTTCTCTTGGGCCATGATGTAGGATCTTGAATACTTTACCTTCAGTCTTTAGATTCGCTTAAAAGTTTGTTGCGTATGCTGACATAGTAGACAGAGACTTAATCTTTGCCCTCATGAAGGCAAAACAGATGAACAGAATAGGCAATAAATTTGAACCAATAAATATAGAGGTGTGGCAGTTTCAGAAGGAAGAGAAAGTGGGTCTTGTGCTACTGAATTGTAGAATGAGCAGATTTAATTGAGAAAAGCATTTTGGTGAAGAAGCTACCCCCCAAAGAAGAAATGAGGTTTAATTATTTCTTTAGGTAATGTTTTTCCTTTTTCTTTTCAATTTTGTTTTGTTCAAAATTTACTTTCACTATCTCCTTTTATTCTTGTTAAATTTCTATAATTGAATGGATAGTTTTCTTTTTTAATTGAAGAAATTGAGGCCAAAGTAATTTGTGACTTACCCATTGTCAGTTCACATAGCAAATCAGTTTTAACACTCATGCTACACTCCACCTCTTACTCGATGTTTTTTCCTTTTCCTTTGTTTTTTGATGTCTAGGTTTAATTGACATGCATTATTTGGATTATAATTGGTTGTGATTACTTGTGGGTTTAAGTTTTCCATTTATCATCTTATTTTTTGCATAATCTCCCCTTTCCTTCCTAGCGTATTTCTGCATTTTGATTGCATGCTGACTAATGCTTGTGCCCTTCAGAAGTGGCTGGCAGGCCATTTTAATTCATCTTGTGTGTCAAGTTTTGTTTTTGACCACTGAAACTTAGTTGCTTTTTTTTTTTTTTTTTGAGACAGAGTCTCACTGTGTCGCCCTTGTTAGAGTACCGTAGTGTCACATATCACAGCAACCTCAAACTCTTGGGATTAAGCAATTCTCTTGCCTCAGCTTCCCAAGTAGCTGAGATACCGCCTGGCTATTTTTTTGTTACAGTTGTTACTGTTTAGTTGGACTGGGCTGGATTTGAACCCGTCAGCCTTGGTATATGTGGCTGGTGCCGTAACCGCTGTGCTATGGGAGCCATGCCTGAAACTTAGTTTTTTATGTAAACTGTTGTGTATCTTAGAAGACAAAGTCAAGTCATCAGAGTCATATTCCTACATTCTTATTTTCCCTTTGGAGTCCCACGGCCCAAGATGTATCTGTAAAGGCAGATACAGGATTAATGCCACCTGTTTCTCTTCTTCAAGGCTTTGTGGCAGCCTTGGTAGTGTATCTTCACAGTTTGTTAATCCCATGACTAAAATGCCCAAAGTAGGTCTTTTGGAGCATATATTCGTTTGTTTGTTTATTTTGTCTCTCTCACTTTGAAGCTAGAATTTTTAGCCTTTGAAAAAAATGCAACTGGTAAAAGTAAGTGCATTTGCTCTTTATAGCTTTGTTTGAATTTTTTGTGATAACCTTGTATTTGCAGGTACCAGGGGCCCAGGATTTGGTGGATTTCTCTCCTGTTTATCGATGTCTACACATATATTCTGTCCTGGTGAGTCTTTATCTGGCTTTGCCTAATATGTATATTGAATTCAGATCTCTGATTTCTCATTTTGGGTAGTTTTCCTGTATTTAAAGAATGAGAAATGAGAAACTATTATTGCTTAAGTAATATTATTTCTAAAAAATAATACATTTTCTGGCTTATTGAATCACTTTCTTGTGTCTGTTAGGTCATATGCTATAGCTAGTGACATTTCTATGAGTCATCAACAAATTGATGACTGTCTAACTTATCATTAGATATACATATTCAGATTTCTGTTTGTAATTTAATGATGTACTTATTCAAATAACAATAGCCCATTTTATATATTAAAATAGTATTTGTGAAAATGTTCAAATTTTTAGTTTCTGATAAGTTATTCCTTTTATCATATACAGCATATGAAAAAATGATCCTCTCTAGGGAGCAGGGGATATTATGGGTATTAATTATGTTCTAAAATCATATTCTAAAACTTTTTATATTCTACAAAATTAAATGTTAGTATCAACAAAGGTAAGTGGGTAAGAGAAGCCCATTATTGATTATTTTTTGTAGTAAAGTTCAGTGAAGCTTATAGCAGGTTTGTTTTTGTATGTTCAGTTATATCTTATTGCCCAGTATGTTATCCATTTTCTTTCTTCATATTACAGTATTTAATATAGTGTTGTCACTTAATCATTACTGCAGACTGATCTGTGGACTTTATGGGCTGAAGTATTTTGTGGTAGTCTCCATTAGTTTGAGAAAAGACCTAGTAGCTTTTTTTGCTCTTCTTCTCCCTCTCCTCACTTTGTCTTCCTCTTTTCTTTTCTCTTTCCCTCCCTCTTTCTTATCCCAGTATGCCTCCTTCCTCTCCATCTATCATTCCATTTTACATAAAAATAAAGCCAGGTGTAGAGTATATTGTATCAAGGCATCTAAATTAAGTAGACAATTTTTTTTCAGTTGTAGCTATGGATAATTAAATGAATCATAAATCCCTTAGATTGTGATACGCTGTTATGTCATACAAGGGACTCTTGTATTTTATTTTATTATATTATACATGTACTTTTCCAGTCAGTCCCTATGGAAAGCCACATGTCTCTTCACCTCCTACTGTACTAGCTCAAATATGTTTAATATATGGTCATAGATAGATGTGTACTGTATGTGTTTTTGAAAAATATATAGTGATTTTGTATCTGTATATTTTAAATTTGCTCAAAGAGTGTTGTGCTATTGATCTTGTTCTATTTTTTGTATATTTTTATTCAGCACTATTTTAAATATCTGTCCTTGTTAGAGTCCATATATATAGCTCACTTTCTCCTCCTACTGAATGATAGTTAATTGATGGTTTGTAATTGCTATGTTTTAATTTTACATTATTTTAGTCATCATAACTTAAATGGCCTCAAGTATTCTGCTGTAACAGATAGTACTCTCTTATGTGTAAGTTTCTACCTAGGAGTAGAATTGTGTCATAAGGTATAATACTTAGCTATTTATACACCATATATATGTATATATATGTTTGAATTTATTAAATAAAAAGATCTTTCTAGAATTTATAATTCTAGATTGATCTAGAAATTCAATCAATTTATAAATGATTTAGAATTTATATAACCATAAATTTTTGGAAGAATTAAAAACTTTACAATGCTCATCCCATTCATGGTAGGATAAGATTTTAAAAATGATTTAATTCAGCTCCCTCCCCTGATGTTAATAGTCTTGGACATTATTTATTAGTTTAATAGCAAAATACTTATAGTTTTTGTTGCTGTTTTCTACTTTGTTTTCTAATTAGCTCAAGAGGAATACTATTTTCATAAATTGATCTTATGTCTGTCAATCTTGCTCGATTATTTTATTAGTTGTAATAGTGATCTTTGGTAGGTCTTCTGTTTAGTCAGTCATACTATCTGTCATTATTGACTTTTGTTACTTTAATTTTTATCCATATTATCTCATTGTTCTTTTTATTGACTGCGATCATCATTACTTTGTTGTTCAGTAAAGTGATAGTAGGCATCCTTGTCCAATTTCTAATCGTAAAGAGAATATATTTGATTTTTTTTCATTTACTGATTTCTATGGTAGGGTTTGGTAAACATTCTTTAGTTATTCCTAGATTCTTGATAATTGTTTTTGAAAAAACATAAATGTGTGTTGGATTTTTTTTCACATACATTAATATAATCTTAGGGTTTTTATCCTTTAATTCATGAATATGGTGAATTTCATTGATAACGTTTTCAGATGTTAAATCATCTTTGCACTCATTAGATAAACTGAATTTGATAAACATTTATTACTATTTTTATAACATTCTATGGAACTTAGCTCTTATTGTTCTTTTTAAAAAATTGTTTATACAGCCGGGTGTTGTGGGAGGCGCCTGTAGTCCCAGCTACTTGGGAGGCTGAGGCAAGAGAATCACCTAAGCCCAGGAGTTGGAGGTTGCTGTGAGCTGTGACATGACGGCACTCTACCCAGGGCGATAAAGTGAGGTTCTGTCTCTAAAAAAAAAAAAAAAATTGTTTGTATTGGTATAGATAGTCATAAGTAACATAGGCCTATAATTTTCTTTTTTGGTGGGTTGTCCTTATGTGGTTTGTAAGTCAGTGCTATTTTAGCCTTATTAACAATAAGTTGAGCATTTCTCCATTTTTTTCTATACTTAATGAAATAACTTATGTAAGACAGGAGTTATCAGTCTTGTGACAGTTGTATAGAAGTCACATATGTACTTCTATGCATTTCTCATTTGCCACACACTTTTTCCTTTCTCCCTTATTATTTGGCTTCCATGCTCCCTGACTTTGTTTAGTTTTTTCAGTGGTATGTATGGATGTGGCAGTTCAGACTTACTGTATTTAAACTAATTGTAGAAAAAGATTGTTTACTCGCATCTAGTTTTAAGTTTTATAGTAAGCCTCATGATTGAAAACTCAAATGAATTTTTTCTTCAAGTAATGTAAGGCTTATTAAAATGGGCAGTTTGTTTTGTTTAATGTTGCATCTTAAATACCAATAGCAGTACTTGTCATATAGTAGGTATTCAGTAAATGTTAGTTGAATGAATACATAAATAAGTGATAGCTAAACAACCCAGTTCATTTGCTTGAATGTATGCTGACTCAAATCTTGTTATTTCTTTACTTGTTCAGTAAACACTTAACTGTATTTCAGTCTTCATTAAATGAATTTGGAGAAAAATTATGTACAAAAATGTCAAGGACTTATGCTTTAAAGTAATTACCATATATCTGGAGAGAAGTTACATTCTTTGAAATACTATACTATGATAGCACTATGCTTATCACTATGTGATGCTAGTTTTTATAATCTTTATTAAGATTTTATGATATGAAAATATAACAGATTTTCCTCCAGTGAAAGCTCTAATAGTGACTTGTAAGAGTATTGAAATAATTTAGTTAGATATTGTATGGTGTTAGGCTAGCTTAACACCCTCATATATGTAATGGGATATAATTAGCTTCCTAGTGCAGTTACAGATATTGAATAAATAGTGCTGAACTCAGTCTTGGGCGTATAATTGGCATTTAATAAATAGCAGTTATCTGGAGAGAGTTTCATATCTCTGATGCTGGTGGTTAGACAAATATTGGTATGCATATTTCAAAAAGTATATGGCATGAAATATAATCATTTAGATAGGAGGTCTAGTCTCTTTAATCAACATATAGCTTTTACACATTTTTAATTGTACAATGACTATATAGTCCTAAGTATAAGAGTCCTGAGTAGAAGCTAGGGTATACTGATAATTATTTAAAAAGATAAGCTCTTAGAAATGCAGGAGGACTTTAAGCTGCCCTTTTAAAAATAAATTCTACACCGTTCTGAAATATTGAAATATTTGATATTAATAAATTTTCTATAACAATTTTTAAGGCATTGTTATTATGACAGAAATAGGTCTCTTCTCCCATTTACATGTTTCCTAGTTTTGAAAAGGTATAATTATGGGTAGAAACTCAGTTTTAGTTTGGGGGGAATATGTGTTTATTTTTTAGACATTGGTGTACTATACATGTAGAGACTTTAAATAAACATTCAAATAACTCCTTTGCTGAAGAAAGGGCCACAGCATATATAGCTTCTAGTGTTGTCTATTTTCATAGTGTTCAGAGGCCTATAATTTGTTGCTTCTCTTTGTTTCCCTGTTCTCAAATCATTAATTTATATTACTGCATAGTAAAGGATAGCTCCTCATAATATTAATGACAAAGCTAGTTAAAAGTGGTTTACTTAATATAAATTTTATAATGTATATTTTTCCTGTTTTTTTTTTTTTTTTTCTTTTCGAGACAAAGTTTCAAGCAGTTGCCCTGGATAGAGTGGGATGGCGTCATAGCTCACAGCAACCTCCAACTCTTGGGCTCAAGCGATCCTCTTGCCTCAGTTTTTCTATTTTTAGTAGAGACAGGGGGTCTTGCTTTTGCTCAGGCTGGTCTCAAACTCCTGAGCTCAGGCAATCCACCTGCCTTGGCCTCCCAGAGTGCCAGGATTACAGGCATGAGCCACCATGCCTGGCCTTCTTATTTTTTAACATAGTGAATGTTAAGCCTTAAGAAAAGAGGATTTAGGAATAGAGAAATGGGGACTTTGGAGAAAATAAACCGTATCTCTCTCATTCCTTTTCATTGTAATACTTGGTATCTATTTTCCACTCTTCATTCTCTCTTCTTCTATTTATGTCACTATTCTGAATCTGTATCTTTTTTTTCAAAGAATCTATTTCTATGCAATGACTCTGTATCTTACCAGACCATTTGACTTTGACTTTGTTGATCATTTTTGCTTTATAACTCTTTACCTCTTTGTCTTCTTTTATCATGTGTTTTTCTTGTTCTCTACTTGCCTTTGGGAGGCCTAATTTGGCTCTTGAGCTTCAAACTTGTGTGTATAAGCATTTACTGAACTCAACCTTTTGGATATTCCCCAGGGAAAATAATCACTATATGTCTGTATTTTTCAAAATGAAC